CTAGACACTGCAGTAGTTATCCGACATACACTAATCAGTCAGGTCTGTAGGTTTAGACTGCTTCGGACTCTCAGTCGTCCACATGATGATGATGAGAGACATGGAAAAACATTTCCTGGTGCGGGTTAACGTGCCACGCAGCGTTTACAAATTTATGATGTGCTGAATTTGACTTCATTCTTGACACTGAGTGCAGACCACACACACACACACACTCGTCAGTGTGCACTATGAGGACAGCTCAAACATCCACATGCTGCTCTGATTTACCTTGGGATGGAGGGATGGTGGCACTTCCCTGTTACAAACTTCAACGATTAGCCGGATGTGCTCATTGAGTCGCTGACAAAAACAATGTCCGAAGTGTGCTGGAGACTCCTGTCAACAGCACAGCGGGGATGTTATGACTGTGGAGAGCCTGCCAGGGTTCCCCTTTAACATAGGACACGGTCTCTTTGAGTCTCCAGAGGGGCAGTGACGTGAGCTCAGCCACATGTTGGCCACATGCTCAGGGTTAGTGTTTTAAGTTCAAGTTTATTTGGATGTCTGTTCGTTGGTGCATTGGCTATATTTGTCCCCAGGGACATAGAAAACATTGTTAAAGGGACGAGGAAGAAAGGAGGAAAAACCTAAACACAGCTTAATGAAACCAAACAAACAGAGAGTTCCTCTTTGTCCCTCTTTAATGTGGCAACATTTCTTCTGCAACATTTTTTAAATTTTTTCTTTGGTGGGAACCAACAGGAAATCAGTGTTATTTAATGTGTAATGGAGCGTGGGATGATTATGAAAATATGTGATGGTTTTGTTTGTTGCATGCAGCCAATGTTAAGAAAATGTGCTTTACAGGAAATAATTATCAAATTTTTTGACATTTCATGGTGAAAATTACCGGTAAATTGGCTAAAAAGGTCAAATGTTGCCTTCCATTTAATTGTAACTTGACAGAAAAAACATTTATTTGTTATAATTTACAAAGTAAGTACCTTTAGATTTTGTTTCTAATTTAATTTGCTTGAAGCACTTATGTTTTATTTGCAATACATGACTTTAGACCCTTTGCTTAAGAGAATCTGCTAAATGGTTGAAACAGGTTGTCGAGGTTTCTTAAATGCGGTTTCATGTGAGTTAAGCGACGCTGACATTTTTTCAAGGGAAAGCTCATCTGAAGTGCACACACTGGCTCCTGGAGTTTTCTTAATTTACATGAATAACCAATGTTGTAGTCTCTCTGTGCTTCACTTTGATTTGTAAAATAACATTTCAGACGAGATGGGATGAGAACTACTTCTCTCTCTATGGCGGCGGTACACTGGAGCCGGCTCTGAGGAGGACAACTGATTGGCACGAGTGTGGACTGATGAATGAATGGGTTTGAAAGTGGACGGGACTTCCTGTTTCCTGTGGAAATGGAAGAGGAAGTACAGCTCGTAGGAGCTGACGGACGGCTGACAGACGGGATCCTCTGAGCTGTGGAGTCGAGTGATTTGAGCTAACCAGAAACATTCCTGTGCAAACTGGTAATCGGTCCAGAGAAAGTAGCTCACTGTGAGAACAAATCCCACTAAAGCCGGAATTTGTTGATTGTATTTCAAAGCTAAAAGCAGTATCTTGAAACACATGAGGCCAATGCAGTCCAAAAATGTTATTAATTTATCACAATCTTGACATTTACGTTCTTGATACATTTTGATAAAATCCTGTCAGATTTCTGTTTTATATTCCTTATCAGTAACCATACTGTGCTGTTTTACTTAAGACCTTTTTTAAAGATAGGGCAAGTTTCCTAATTTATAGAATAATCCCAGGCTTCTAGGACATTTATCTCATGAATATTTAATTTCTAATTTATTGGTTTCCACTGTGTCTTCTGGTTTTATTTAGAAGTAAAGAAAGTATAGTAAGTGCTTCTTGCATTATTGACTATTTAAACCTGTTGGCTGTTGACTGCAACAACTAAATATGAAGGCAGTGGTTGTGAGTGAGAACAACTAACAACCCTATTGATTAATTCTAAGCACCCATCAATTCCACCTTTAGTTGCAGTTGCTATGTCGGACACGTTTTGGTCAACAATATGGCGATGTCTATACCGTAAATGTTGGATAACTAAGGTGGCCGCTACCTAAAGCTCCTACGAGGAACTTTTGGAGGTTCCAAAAGTGGTAGTATTTCCGATTACCAGAATCCGTGCAGCCGAGTCTGAGAGTCTGCCCTGCTCAGTCCTGGATCTGGTTCCCAGCGATGAGGCCTGGGCCTCCAGCAGCGGTGTCGGTGTTGACTCCCAGTGGGGACCGGCGGAGCAGCGAGGCGAAGCTCTGCTCCTGGAGGAGATGCTGCTGCCAGGTGTGGAGCTCTCCGCCTCCTGCTGGAGCTCCGTCTGCAGGTCGAAGGTGGCTCCAAAGCCGGATCTGGGTTGGTCGCTGCCGGACGCCTCGCCGGAGTCTGAGCTGGAGTTTCTGCATGATTTCATCTTATTTGGCCAGAATCTGACCCGGTGGCAATGATGACAAGCATGAAGAATAAGTCTATAGAAACAGCCAATCTTCTCGCTGACGGTCTCGTTTACTTACATAGGTCATACAGAGGCATCAGTATTAAATTGAGGCTGTTCACAACCAGTTAAAGTTCCCCACAGTAGGCCAACTTTAAATTGAAAACATATATTATAATGTTACTTTTCAAAAGAAAGCGATGCTGCTGATGTTGAGCTGACTGTGAGGTCTAAGACTCAAATACGTCTTTTGACCTTCTTCAAAGTGTCTTTGTTGTTTGTAGCATACGAGATGACTGATGTCCAAGTTCATGCAAAGCAAAGCTGTGATTGGTGCATTAAAGGAAAGAGGTGGTGCTAAGGATCGATCAACGTTGGTGTTTTGTTGTTTGCTTTTACAAACAGAGAAAGGAGCATCTGTCAGAGCTTAAGATTTGCTGAGAATCAGACTCGAGGTCTTCAAGTCCCAGGATACGAAAAAAATGCTTAATTTGAAAACAGAATCACTGACCCCAAACCAGTGCTTACAAACTTGTGTGTATTATGGTATTAGAGCTGTGATCATAGACGGAGCAGCAAGCCTGTTACCAAGAGACTAATACATGGAAATGTACCGGCTAAAGACCAATCACCAGGCTGCAGAATAGGCTTTGCTCTTAGTCGAGGGATTACCAGGCAGTGTGAAATGAAGTCTGATTATGCCACCACCCATTACACACACCGACACACTCTCAAACACACACACACACGCTTCTGTGTTCATGTCAAAGCCTTTACGAAGGAGCCAGTTGACAAACCTAGATCCATAATGGTATTAGCTATAACATTAACACCCTTGACTTTTGTACATGAAGACATCAGGCAATCACATAAAGACATGCTGTCACATGTATTCACACACACGCACACACCTACACACACACACACACACACACACACACACACACACACACACACACACAAGTGGTCTCAGCAGCAGCTGTTCGGCTCACTCCCATAATCCCTGTGGATGGAGGAGAAGTGTGTGTCTGTGTGTGTGTGTGTGGTGACATCTGCTTCTCCCAGTGTGGCCCTGTCATCAATGGTTTGTCACGGGCCAAGTTTAGAGTCGGTGTGAACTCAACACATAGCATTGTGCTGTATGTGTAGTGTTTACGTGCTAATCTCGGCCAGCTGTGTTTGTTAGAGGCATCCGAGTCATTATCAGTTTAGTAGGTGTAAGGGTTGGTTAGGGATGAGTGATATGGATACAATCTTCTGTTGCTATTGAAATGTATATTGTAATAGAGGATGTTTTCTGGAAACTCAATTGAGAAACTTCTTATGCTGTAGATTAAAAAAGGGGGGCGAAATACTCTCCTGTGAATATTTCGCATCAAAACAATTCATACCGGCATTAAAGGGTTTTAACAGATTCTCACAGGCAAAGCACCAACTACCAGGGTCCTACTGACCCAGAGCAGCATATGTCAAGCTACTGTAAGACATTTTATTGAGTTCCCCCCGCCGTCTAAATGTAAATGTCTAGGGCTTTTATTGTGAAAGGTTAGAACAGAACAAGTGGATCTGGTATGGGCTGTCTTTGTCGAGGTTGAAAGGAGTAATAAAGTTTGCTTTGTTGGTTTGCACCACTGAGCCTCTGTGTTGTACAATATAGTGTACGTTCTTATTGCTCATTGTAATTAGTTGATGCTTTTATTGTGAAAGCTCAGAAAAATCATTCTCATTCCGCAAAAACATTATTCTGCTTTTTCGTCCTGTAATATTTCAGTTCTGTGTGAAAGTATTCATGACAAAAACAACCAGATCGAGAAAATATATTGACATCAAACAGCCACATTTATTCTGTGAAAAGAGTTCTATAGAGTCTGGAGGCAGCTTTTTTGGAATAATCTCTGTTTTGGCTCAAATAATCTACATATTTAAAAGAAAGCATTGCAGGGTTGGGGGCAGTTGGAGTATGTCGTTTATAATGTGTGGGCATTTATCAGGCTGGGATGCTCTAACAAAAAGGTCTGTTGCATTATGGGTAATATAGGATTCTGCGTTCGTTGGAGCCTGACCCATACAAAGAACTAAAAGGCTTGATATCTCGGCCTCTGCTGCCTAATCTTTAATCCTTCTTTTATTTCATCCGTCTCCTGTGAGTCCTCCAGATTTATGGAAGTGCTATATTACATTTCTGGAGAACCCCTTTAATATAAGTATGTCCTTGGAGATTATTGGACTGTACCACTGCTGCATATTGTCGCTTTTACTATTCTAATTACTTTCTCAATTTGAACTGTCAAATAAAAGCCACGATGTCCCTTAACTCTTGCTATGATCAGGGGTCCCATACAAGTTCATTTTTTAAATCCCTGATGCTGTACGCATTCCGTGTTCTCTAATAGGTCACATCTTTAACAACACATCCCTTCAACATCACATAAGACCTCTAAAGTGACACCAAACCCTGATCTTGACCTCATCCTTGTTTGTTTTTTGTTTTTTTTGTCCTCTTCAGGTCAAAGAGGAGATGCTGCTGGAGGCACTGACAACCAGGAAAACGGTGACCGTGGGAGAGAGGCTCATCGTACCCTACAAACTCGCTGAGGTGACATTTCTATACCCGCAACATCCACGTACAGCACCATATCAGAATGTGACACCCACTCATCTCAGTCTCAAACACATAGACTTCATCTGACCTTCTAAAAATAATGACCTATTGCCAGTAAACCCCCCCTGTGAGTATGTCTGGTCCCTTACTGCCACCACACAATTAATTCAGATTGTTTTTATAGTCCATTAGATTTGGCACCAAACACAACAATGCATTGACAATAATGCGTCTCATATTCTTAGTGACCAAGTGGCAGTGATGAACATTCGGAGTTATTTTAACACGTCTTTATCGTTCGCTACTTAAGGTCAGCAGGGCCTGTGTGAGTGTGGCAGGAGGGGCGTGTCTTCAGTAAATTCCAGTCAGTCTCAAGAAAGCATATTGTGGCCAAATGTTTTGTTATGAAGCGTGTCAGCTGTCGGGGAGATTCTGTGTTTGTGTGTGTGTGCTTGTCTGGGGAGTTTGTTGGGGCACTTCCCCTCCAGCCCCCACCGCTTCTCTCTGAGGCTCTTTTGATAGACGTCTCTTCCTCTGCAACTTCCTGTTTCCTGTCGAGTCAAGGGAACAGGGCGACTTAACCCGGTCCACACAGCCCTCTGGATTTACCTCCAGGATGCCTCGGTTGACCTAGATAGACTGCTCTGATGTCGGTCATTGTGCTTGTAAATATTAAGATTCATTATATTGTTTTTTTCAATCTCTCCATCCCCAAAACCTTTGATGGTTTAGCAAAGAATTTTTGTCTGAGGAAGGAAACGCTACACATAGATAGTCTGTTACGCTGCTTCGGCTCCACCTCCCACCCTTCTGATCCAACAATGGTTGCTCCCGCTCTCTCACACACACACACCCCCATCCCTCCAGGCATGTGGTCTGGTCTCAGGAATGTGCAGCCTCCACTGGAATATACAGTACAGAGGCCAAAAGCCAGATCCAGAGTCTGTCTCTGTTTGTCTCTGTGTCTCTTTCCCTGACTGTCACACATGTTTGAAACACATACAGCGAGTTCCCTTTTTCTCGACGAGCTGGGAGACAGAGGCCCAGGCGGTGTGATCAGAAACTTAATCATGGACTACAGCTTTGATAAAACCCTGTCCTGCAGCTCCTGGTTTCACGCCTTGGAAGTTCCCTCCTGTCCTTTGCAAGATGGCCTCATTTTTAAAGGAGCGAGAGGCGAATGGATGTAGAAAGGCCTGGAGAGAGTGAGGCAGCGACCTTTCAATCTATGAATGTCCCGTAATGAAAAATCATCGAATCATAGAATAGCATAACGAGACATCCCCAGAGTCTTAGTGCCTTAGTGTATCTCTCTCCCGACATAAATCCTGCAATAACGGCGTTTTTGGTCATTTAGAGGCAGCAGAAACAAGGGCCGTGGGAGCGAGTCGAGGCCACCTGCAGAATCCATAACACGCCTGTTTTTATACAAAGGAAATGTGGAAAAGAAAAAAAAGAACCTGGCAAACGTTGCCGGTTCTTCTAAGAAACAAGTTGTTCCTTCTTGAGATGATGAGAAAGGTTGAGAAAGGGGTGCAGCTGTCCCATCCACCCACGGCTGAGTGTGTGACCTGCTGAACCTCACTGTGCTGCAGAGTAGAGGCTGGTATTTCCCCAACTTCAGCCAGTAAGATCCATAAAACTCATTGGATGCATTGTGGTTGAGTCAGGTGGGACGCATTCATGAGCTGCACAGTAATAATGAGAGTAAAAGTAATTTTTCTATTCAAGCAGGGAAACTGTGCTTTGCAGCTTCTGAGGAGGTCAGAATCTTTCAGAAGTGCCTTTGTGGCCAAAGGTGCAACGTTTTACTTTTGAATCCAGCCTTTGATTCTTTTCCCATGATTCTTTTTCAAGACAACAGGCCATGTTGTTGGCTCAGGCTGTACAATCTTAGTGTTGTTATATAAAAAGTCAGATTTTAAGACCTAGTTCACAGCACATTGAGACTGAAAGGAGAGCGAAATAAAACTGGGAATACTGATGAAGTCAGCAACAACATATGGTGTAATATTGTGACCAGGAGTCTGTACAAACCAAATGTCTACCAGAGATTAACCTCACGTAACCAAACAAGCAATCATTGAAAACATATATTGTAAAATGAAGGGGAACTCCAGCTTGCAGGCAGGTTTTTTTAGTCATGCTGGGTGTTAATAATCTTGACCTCTGTGGTTTCGCTGAGTTTAATTCAGGTGACATCTGCATCTGCGACATCATGATTGGGCGAATGTGTGTCTGTCAAGATAAGGTGTGATGTCTGACTGCAACATTTTTGACGTGGCTCCAGATAATGACTCTACCACTTCCTCCTTCCTATTTAAAAAACAGACATGGGGGAGGGGAAGTGATGGAGAGGGGGGGGGGGGGAATCAGGTGCTCATTCATATAAAAGGTTCTGCATCCTATTAGAAACTCTTTCAAAGGTGTTGAAGCCTCAAAGTGAGAGTGTAGAGGTAATCCCCCTTTGCTGAGGGGTTGTAAAATGTCTGTAATGTATGTACACTGATAGACAAAAACAACAACTCCATAAATACAAATTAGAAGCACATGCAGGTTGGCATATTGCGGTGAAACACACACGCACACACAAAAACACCCTGCAGCGAGGAAGCTAGCGGGCCACGTGCAGCGTGAGCTCATGCTGCTGCTTCACACCTCCTGTGGTTTTCAGGAGAAAGAAATGTAACCAAAGAGAACAACAACTTTCCCCCCCGAGCAGAACCGTATAATCACTGAGACCTGGTTCAAGGGCCACCGTTACACATGTCTGTGATAGAGTCCTGCTAATTCTTATGGTCCGTTTCTTGGGTGGCCCTCCAGCTAAATATTTTCATCTCATTTGCTTCCAGCCATGTTCCCTCCTAGTTCTTAACTGGTCCCATTGTGTTGAATAATTCAATCAGATGGCAAACACAGAGATGATTCGTGCTCGGTGAGCATGTCAGATGTTCACATCTCTCCTGCCAATCCCCTGAGTTCCTGCTGAAGCATTTAAAATGGGATTCTTCTCATCAAATGTTGTATTATTCATAACAATCTTGCATAACTTTGTGGGAGCGGGGACGTCACAATCCTGCTTGCTAAAAATACCATAAACAATCAATAATGCAAGAGTGAAGAGGCCGCTTTTAAAATGCACAGTTCTGCTTCATCGCGGCTGTTGGCTTGATGTGGCCTCAGCAGGCGATGTTTCTGAGGTTGACCGGGTTCACAGTGACCCACAAAGGCCTCTGAAAGAGAGGGATATTTTCATGACTGATTTAAGACTTTTTGATCAGTTTTAATGTCGTAGTTTGAGTCGGTGTGCCTGTTTTTGATCATTGTTTTAGCGAGCTTTAGACCAACTTCCTCTGGCAAATTTAGCTTCAATTTAGTCTTTATTCAACCAAATCAATTAAAAGATACGTTAAAAAAGTCTGTCTTAAACCAATAATCAGGTGCCCATATGAACATTGCAAAAGTTTTGATGGATGTAATCATTTCTTCTGCTCGTACTGGCCATTAAGAGATCCATTCTCAAATCCAAATCAATAAAAGTGATGAGGGACAAAATCTGCTGTCCTTGAGTTGGACAAGTCGTATGTTCATCTTACAGTCTTTATAGTACAACATTCAAAAGGGGGATTTCAAACTGCGAGACGCTTTCGATGATCACAGTTCAATAATCCAACTGAGGTGCCATTTTGTTTTCACTTCTCTTATTCTTGTTCAGCTGTTTCGATATCATCTATACCTGTTGCCATTTTTCTGTCACTGTATTTCATGAGTTTATGGAGATAGTGTCCCCATTCTTAATCCTGGCCTACCAAGCTCTGGTTGGATTTCTGCAACTGGTGGAAATAGCCATCAATGGGGACAACATCAGAACTAAAAAAGAATGGCTCCAATTTCACTGTAGCGAAGGAATTCCTGGATTTATGTAACTCTACGCTTCGATCCAAGTGGATCTACGGGGATAAGATCCACTTAGTCTTTCTAAATTGGGGTCTCTGTTGTAATGCACATGACTATTTCGGGTGTTCCTGCCATGAAAATGTTTGACCTAGTTGAAGCAGATTCCTTTTGCCTTGTTCCACTCCTCATTCAGTCATAACACGTCTTGCTGCCAAAGAACGTGTTCCAAGTCTCCATTTAATTCTGCTTATGTTAGCTTAGCATGCCTTTCATCATGTCTAAGGAGAAAGCCTATAGTTGCTCTTTGGCTGATTGAGGCGTAATAATGACTCCTCTTGGCAGAGCTGTTTTTTATGGATCAAAAGTGATCCATAAAGAGAGTTGTCCAAATAGTGATCTGCCGGTGTGGAGGCACTTAAGGCTCTGGCTCCTGACTGAAAACACCTCAAATATAACAGCACTTCACACAGCAAGACTCCCAACCTGAAGAACAGTAACTCAGAGTTGTGAGCAGTGTGGGAGCTTTAACACCAACCCTGTGTTTACCCTCTAAATACAAAGTGGCTGTTGTTATAAACCTTGAACAATGTAATGATACCAGCCTGGCGTTTCCCATCTCTAAATTACAGTTGCATAGTTGCTATCAGACTGTTTGCATGTATGGTACTTGAGCTCATACTGTTGTTCCAATGATTCCTTCTTGAGAGAGATTAATGCCGGTTGACTGTTCTCATGTACTCATTTTACCAGCTTGGTGCTACACTCGTGTTGTTTGTACCCGATACCACTCTAATGTCTGTTAAGTTACGCTAACTGTGAAGGAAGAGTCAGCTGGATGATTAGCTTAGCTTAGCATCAAGGCTGAAAGCAAAGGGAAACAGCTAGCTTGGCTCTGACCAAAGGTAATAAAACACTTGCATCTTCGCTACATAACTCGTAAAATGTGGAGATGCTGATAAAGAGTTTTTTTTCTTTAGACAAAGCCAGGCTAGCTCAGCTTCTCCCCGTGAGAGCAGACCATTAGACCTCTTCTCCGCCCACTTCACACGTTTAATATGACACTGGTCCAGTCCCAGAGAAGACAGAGGGGACGTTAATGTTGCGTTCGTCTCGTTGCTCTGACCAGAAGCTGCTGCAGTTGGCAGGTGTTTGGGTTTGATGCAGTGAAGTCGGAAGCCACCTTCAATAACGGTCAACCAATCTGCAGAATGACTTACCATTATGCTGTTGAAGAAAAAGAGCAGCACTCAATAAAGTACAACGAAAATAAATAGGTTAACAAAGTAGGTTAGGAAGTGTTTAACTGGTTGCATAAGTGTTCCTAACCACCTCAGTGAAATGAAAATGGTCAAGCAGCAGCTGAGAGTCAGTGTTCTTCAGTAAGGCTGAGAGTGAGAGGGATAAAACAGTATTGGCTCCTGTTCAGAATTTAAAAATCCATATGTTTTTGATCAGGAAGAAACTAATGTGTTCTCTCTGTGTGTGTGTGTGTGTGTGTGTGTGTGTGTGTGTGTGTGTGTAGGCGGGCACGGTGAGGGACTCCATGGCCAAGTCACTGTACAGCGCGCTGTTTGACTGGATTGTGTTCAGGACCAACCATGCCCTGCTCAACAACAAGGACCTGGAGGACAAGTCAAAGGTAGGACTGAAGACACACACACTTAATGTACGTGCTCAAAAATAATTTAAAGACATATCTGGAGCCAGCAGGGGGCCCTTTGAGGGCCAATCATGAAAGTCACTCCAAAAATTGCAAACATGCAAACAGTCTGGAGGAGAAATATTTACCTCCTAAATCAACACACGTCCCTTTGTCCCGTTCATGTCTTCTCTTTGTTTGTTTTGTCTTTCCTCACCTTCATTTGTCGGACTCGTTCTCCCCATCCTGCTGCTCTCTGTCTGTCCAGACTAGATTTCTCTGCTTTCTGGCTTCCTCCACTCCCAGAGGCAGGGAGTGGTGTGATATCAAGATTCCACTGTGTGTGTGTGTGTGTGTGTGTGTGTGTGTGTGTGTGTGTGTGTGT